AACTCAAAGAGCACACTCCGAAGTCGGATGGGGTGAATGGATTAGGGTGCCCCTCTAGCAGGGGAGAGCAGGGAATTGCCTCGGGAAGGAGGCCACTGGTGTAGATTCTAAAAGCCGATAGGCGCCACAGCTCTGATGACCGTCCAAGTCTGTCATCGACGGCAAACATTCACATCTCCCCCTCCCGCCTCGGTGTGTTCCTTTTACCCATCTGCACCATTTCTTTGTGCTTGCAGATCCCCAATGCTTCAAGTCCCTTCGCAATGTCAGCATCAACGGCAAGTCCGGCAAAGCTTTTCAGTGGATCTCCAATGTCGGGCCCTCTGTCGTACTCAAAATTTCAAATCTGCAATGGAATGTCAGCACTGCCGTGGACTCGGAGATCTGTTTCACACTCGGGCTGCCTTGCACCACCCTGTCGAGGCTTTGCTTCAATGAGGGCGCTTGCAAGTTTGCCATTTTCAACTCTGGGTCCATGCCACTCGGCGAATGCTGCATGCTTGGGACAATGCCCGTCCCCACACCGGCCCCTGACCGGCCTCCGCCTTCGCGACCCACACCCGCCGTCAGCAACAATCCAACGATGCCACCCGCTTACCCCCATGATGCCAGTCCGAGCCCGCCTGGGCTGGCACAGCCGCCTCCGCCGCCGGGCCAACTGCCTAGATCCAGTCCGAGCCCGCCTACGCTGGCACAGCCGCCTCCGCCGCCGGGCCAGCTGCCGAGATCCAGTCCGAGCCCGCCTACGCTGGCACAGCCGCCTCCGCCGCCGGGTCAGCTGCCTGGATCCAGTCCGAGCCCGCCTGGGCTGGCACAGCCGCCTCCGCCGCCGGGCCAGCTGCCGAGATCCAGTCCGAGCCCGCCTGGGCTAGCACAGCCGCCTCCGGCGCCGGGCCAGCTGCCTGGATCTAGTCCGAGCCCGCCTGGGCTGGCGCAGCCGCCTCCGCCGCCGGGCCAGCAGCCTAGATCCAGTCCGAGCCCGCCTACGCTGGCACAGCCGCCTCCGCCGCCGGGCCAGCTGCCTGGATCCAGTCCGAGCCCGCCTGGGCTGGCCACCGCCTCCGCCGCCGGGCCAGCTGCCTGGATCCAGTCCGAGCCCGCCTGGGCTGGCACAGCCGCCTCCGCCGCCGGGCCAGCTGCCTAGATCCAGTCCGAGCCCGCCTGGGCTGGCACAGCCGCCTCCGCCGCCGGGCCAGCTGCCTGGATCCAGTCCGAGCCCGCCTACGCTGGCACAGCCGCCTCCGCCGCCGGGTCAGCTGCCTGGATCCAGTCCGAGCCCGCCTGGGCTGGCACAGCCGCCTCCGCCGCCGGGCCAGCTGCCTAGATCCAGTCCGAGCCCGCCTGGGCTGGCACAGCCGCCTCCGCCGCCGGGCCAGCTGCCTGGATCTAGTCCGAGCCCGCCTACGCTGGCACAGCCGCCTCCGCCGCCGGGCCAGCTGCCTAGATCCAGTCCGAGCCCGCCTGGGCTGGCACAGCCGCCTCCGCCGCCGGGCCAGCTGCCTGGATCCAGTCCGAGCCCGCCTGGGCTGGCACAGCCGCCTCCGCCGCCGGGCCAGCTGCCTGGATCCAGTCCGAGCCCACCTGGGCTGGCACAGCCGCCTCCGCCGCCGGGCCAGCTGCCTAGATCCAGTCCGAGCCCGCCTGGGCTGGCACAGCCGCCTCCGCCGCCGGGCCAGCTGCCTGGATCCAGTCCGAGCCCGCCTACGCTGGCACAGCCGCCTCCGCCGCCGGGTCAGCTGCCTGGATCCAGTCCGAGCCCGCCTGGGCTGGCACAGCCGCCTCCGCCGCCGGGCCAGCTGCCTAGATCCAGTCCGAGCCCGCCTGGGCTAGCACAGCCGCCTCCGGCGCCGGGCCAGCTGCCTGGATCTAGTCCGAGCCCGCTTACGCTGGCACAGCCGCCTCCGCCGCCGGGCCAGCTGCCTAGATCCAGTCCGAGCCCGCCTGGGCTGGCACAGCCGCCTCCGCCGCCGGGCCAGCTGCCTGGATCCAGTCCGAGCCCGCCTGGGCTGGCACAGCCGCCTCCGCCGCCGGGCCAGCTGCCTAGATCCAGTCCGAGCCCGCCTACGCTGGCACAGCCGCCTCCGCCGCCGGGCCAGCTGCCTGGATCCAGTCCGAGCCCGCCTACGCTGGCACAGCCGCCTCCGCCGCCGGGCCAGCTGCCGAGATCCAGTCCGAGCCCGCCTACGCTGGCACAGCCGCCTCCGCCGCCGGGTCAGCTGCCTGGATCCAGTCCGAGCCCGCCTGGGCTGGCACAGCCGCCTCCGCCGCCGCGTCAGCCAGGATCCAGCCCCAGCCCGCCTCGGCAAGCCACAGCCCAGACTCAGGCAGCGAACCCACTGCACTCAGTCAGCCCCAGCCCATCTCCAGGACAGGCTCTACCGCCTCCGCCTCCAGGCCAGCAGCCAGGCCAGCCCCGGCCCATCTCCAGGAGGGGCTCTACCGCCCCCGCCTCAAGGCCAGCAGCCAGGCGCCAGCCCCGGCCCATCTCCAGGAGGGGCTCTACCGCCCCCGCCTCAAGGCCAGCAGCCAGGCGCCAGCCCCGGCCCATCTCCAGGAGGGGCTCTACCGCCCCCGCCTCAAGGCCAGCAGCCAGGCGCCAGCCCCGGCCCATCTCCAGGAGGGGCTCTACCGCCCCCGCCTCAAGGCCAGCAGCCAGGCGCCAGCCCCGGCCCATCTCCAGGAGGGGCTCTACCGCCCCCGCCTCAAGGCCAGCAGCCAGGCGCCAGCCCCGGCCCATCTCCAGGAGGGGCTCTACCGCCCCCGCCTCAAGGCCAGCAGCCAGGCGCCAGCCCCGGCCCATCTCCAGGAGGGGCTCTACCGCCCCCGCCTCAAGGCCAGCAGCCAGGCGCCAGCCCCGGCCCATCTCCAGGAGGGGCTCTACCGCCCCCGCCTCAAGGCCAGCAGCCAGGCGCCAGCCCCGGCCCATCTCCAGGAGAGGCTCTACCGCCCCCGCCTCAAGGCCAGCAGCCAGGCGCCAGCCCCGGCCCATCTCCAGGAGGGGCTCTACCGCCCCCGCCTCAAGGCCAGCAGCCAGGCGCCAGCCCCGGCCCATCTCCAGGAGGGGCTCTACCGCCCCCGCCTCAAGGCCAGCAGCCAGGCGCCAGCCCCGGCCCATCTCCAGGAGGGGCTCTACCGCCCCCGCCTCAAGGCCAGCAGCCAGGCGCCAGCCCCGGCCCATCTCCAGGAGGGGCTCTACCGCCCCCGCCTCAAGGCCAGCAGCCAGGCGCCAGCCCCGGCCCATCTCCAGGAGAGGCTCTACCGTCCCCGCCTCAAGGCCAGCAGCCAGGCGCCAGCCCCGGCCCATCTCCAGGAGGGGCTCTACCGCCCCCGCCTCAAGGCCAGCAGCCAGGCGCCAGCCCCGGCCCATCTCCAGGAGAGGCTCTACCGCCCCCGCCTCAAGGCCAGCAGCCAGGCGCCAGCCCCGGCCCATCTCCAGGAGGGGCTCTACCGCCCCCGCCTCAAGGCCAGCAGCCAGGCGCCAGCCCCGGCCCATCTCCAGGAGAGGCTCTACCGCCCCCGCCTCAAGGCCAGCAGCCAGGCGCCAGCCCCGGCCCATCTCCAGGAGAGGCTCTACCGCCCCCGCCTCAAGGCCAGCAGCCAGGCGCCAGCCCCGGCCCATCTCCAGGAGGGGCTCTACCGCCCCCGCCTCAAGGCCAGCAGCCAGGCGCCAGCCCCGGCCCATCTCCAGGAGGGGCTCTACCGCCCCCGCCTCAAGGCCAGCAGCCAGGCGCCAGCCCCGGCCCATCTCCAGGAGGGGCTCTACCGCCCCCGCCTCAAGGCCAGCAGCCAGGCGCCAGCCCCGGCCCATCTCCAGGAGGGGCTCTACCGCCCCCGCCTCAAGGCCAGCAGCCAGGCGCCAGCCCCGGCCCATCTCCAGGAGAGGCTCTGCCGCCCCCGCCTCAAGGCCAGCAGCCAGGCGCCAGCCCCGGCCCATCTCCAGGAGGGGCTCTACCGTCCCCGCCTCAAGGCCAGCAGCCAGGCGCCAGCCCCGGCCCATCTCCAGGAGAGGCTCTACCGCCCCCGCCTCCAGGAGAGACTCTACCGCCCCCGCCTCCAGGAGAGGCTCTACCGCCCCCGCCTCCAGGAGAGGCTCTACCGCTCCCGCCTCCAGGAGAGGCTCTACCGCCCCCGCCTCCAGGAGAAGCTCTACCGCCCCCGCCTCCAGGAGAAGCTCTACCGCCCCCGCCTCCAGGAGAGGCTCTACCGCCCCCGCCTCCAGGAGAGGCTCTACCGCCCCCGCCTCCAGGAGAGACTCTACCGCCCCCGCCTCCAGGAGAGGCTCTACCGCCCCCGCCTCCAGGAGAGGCTCTACCGCCCCCGCCTCCAGGAGAGGCTCTACCGCCCCCGCCTCCAGGAGAAGCTCTACCGCCCCCGCCTCCAGGAGAAGCTCTACCGCCCCCGCCTCCAGGAGAGGCTCTACCGCCCCCGCCTCCAGGAGAGGCTCTACCGCCCCCGCCTCCAGGAGAGGCTCTACCGCCCCCGCCTCCAGGAGAGGCTCTACCGCTCCCGCCTCCAGGAGAAGCTCTACCGCCCCCGCCTCCAGGAGAAGCTCTACCGCCCCCGCCTCCAGGAGAGGCTCTACCGCCCCCGCCTCCAGGAGAGGCTCTACCGCCCCCGCCTCCAGGAGAGGCTCTACCGCCCCCGCCTCCAGGAGAGGCTCTACCGCTCCCGCCTCCAGGAGAAGCTCTACCGCCCCCGCCTCCAGGAGAAGCTCTACCGCCCCTTCCTCCAGGAGAAGCTCTACCGCCCCCGCCTCCAGGAGAGGCTCTACCGCCCCCGCCTCCAGGAGAGGCTCTACCGCCCCCGCCTCCAGGAGAGGCTCTACCGCCCCCGCCTCCAGGAGAGGCTCTACCGCCCCCGCCTCATCACCAGCAGCCAGCACCCACAAGCCCCAGCCCGGCTGCTGATCCTCAACCGCCATCATCACCAGTCGACCAGCCAGCACCCACAAGCCCCAGCCCGGCTGCTTCTCCTCCACCGCCATCATCACCAGTCGACCAGCCAGCCCCCTCAAGCCCCAGCCCGGCTGCTCCTCCTCCACCGCCATCATCACCTGTCGACCAGCCAGCCCCCTCAAGCCCCAGCCCGGCTGCTCCTCCTCCACCGCCATCATCACCTGTCGACCAGCCAGCCCCCTCAAGCCCCAGCCCGGCTGCTCCTCCTCCACCGCCATCATCACCTGTCGACCAGCCAGCCCCCTCAAGCCCCAGCTCGCCTCCTCTCTTTCAGCCCCCTTCATTTCCTGGCGACCAACCGCGATCAAAGCCTAGCCCTGGTCAATCGCCACTTAGATCCCTACCACCTTCGCCTCGTCAATCGCCCCTCCCCCCCGGGGTGATGATTCCTGTTCCCCTCCCCGATAATTTCCTCGGCTGGGAAGATTCTGGGTACGACATGTCAGCGTACGACAGTTTTGAAAACACATCACACGTGGTGGTGACTTACTTATTCTCCGTGGCGCAGGAGGCACCCGCTGTTCGCGGTTGGAGCTTTGTTGCAGATTCAACAGTTTTCGGTGTCGATGTGGATCCCTCAAGCGCTATGATAACACGGCGTACGGCTGATAGCAGTACAACAGTTGCCACGCAGTTTATTCGGTATGCGGATTCGGGTCTTCCAACGGTGACGGTCCTTGATACCATCACCGCGGGCTCATCTCTGTTGTACACAGTCACATTTCCGCGGCGACGTGTGTTTGCAGATTCTATTCCCGCCAGTACCCCAGATGCGGTACCACCGCCGCAAGAGCAGGTCGGTGCCCATCATCACCGTCACCACCATCATCATCGTCGACGTCGCCTTGGCGAAACTCCGCCACCGGGCGCTGGCGCCACGGTCATTGTATGGAGCAATGACGTGGCAACCATTACCGTACTTCCCACCGACCTCAGCGGTCCAAAGAGCTCCTCTCTGCCTAATGGCATTCGCACCTGCGCCGCCGCGCCACAACCTGCCGACACGGACTTTCTCCCTTTCGGACCTAATCAATGCCTCAACGTCACCGTGGGGAGCACCTACTACGCCGCCGCCAACCGCACTACCTTTGTTGTACGACTTCGCGCCACTGCCGTCGGCTCCGCCAGCCTCAGCACCACCAGCGGTACGACAGAGTACGTCAACTGTACGGCATGGCTGTCATCCTTGCCGTCGCCGGCGTTCCTGCGGGTGCTGCTCACCGAGGCGACGGCGGCCGAGCTTGCGGCCGCCGCCGCCGCCGCCGCTACTCCCCCACTCACGGCGCCCCTGGGTACCTTTATCCAGGACGGCGCGCTGATGGTGCCCCGCGGCGCCATCGTACGGCCAGGACGATATTCCGGAATGGAGCTGTCTTTCAGCCGTCAGGGTATTAACGCCCTGCAGGATGTCTGCACGCAGCGGGCCCTCGAGGGGCAGCTTCCGGACACGTGCGCGATGCAGCTCCTAACCCGCAGTAGGTGTGAGGAGGACGTGATTGGTATCGACAGTGGCGGTACGGACCCCATCGGCGACATACCGGCGGTTTACGCGCCCCCGCCGGCGCCGCCGCCGCCGCCGCCGGCTCCTCCACGGAGCAGCGGCAGTGCGGGGGAGAACAGTCCGGCGACTATTCAGGGGTATAGCGGCAACGTCCGGACAGCGGACAGCGGTCTGTCGAATAGTCAGGTAAGTCCCCTTGGCCCCGTTTTTCAGGGGACTTGAAAAAACGTTTTGGGTACGATAGGCACATCAGATGTGGGTGGGTGGGTGTGTGACTGTGTGTGTGGCTCCTCCTTTGGGTTTACTCCGCCTTAGCCTTCGCCTCCGCTTCCGCCTCCTCGTCCTCGTTCTCACCCTCGTTTGCCAGATCGTCCAACTTTTAACACAAAAAATCTCAAAAAAATCTAAACAAAATCCCAAAAAACTTTCATACAAAATAAAAATTCCCTATTTCCAAGGAAATAACTAACGGCTCGTTATTTGCTTTGTTTGTCCAGACGGTGATCATCGTGTGCATGGTTGTGGGTTCCGTTATTCTTGGCCTTATCACGCTCATGGTCATTACACACCATAAGCGCAAGCGATGGCAGCTGGGCAACCTTGACGACTCGTTCAACGCCTTCTCACTTGCCGGCGGCAGCGTTGGCGGCAACGTCAGCGGCGGCGGCGCAGGTGCAGGCGCCGCCGCTGGCACCACCGCCGCTGGAGGCCACGTCATCAGTATGACCGCTGACACACGCAGCGCGCCGGCGGCGCAGGCGGCAGCCTCGGTGACGTCGGCGGCGGCGTCAGCAGCGGGCTTGGCCGCGGGGCCGACCTACGGTACCGGCGGGACGGCGACGGCGGGACAGAAGCTAAATGGCGGAGAGGACGTGGTTCCAGGTTCGAACCCGGCACGGAGCAATGGAGGTGCATCCGCCGGTGGCTCAGCGTTGCTGCAGCGACAGTCGAATGGCTCACTCCCAGAAAAAAACGTACATCACCACGAAATGGTGACGTCAGCGACGGTGCAGAACGGAACACCGGCAGCACTAGCACCAGCGGTAGCGGCGGCGGCACCCGCCACGGTCGCCGCCTCCGCAGCCTGTACGGCAGAAGAGCATCCAGATGTGGTGGTTAGGGCCGGAGAGATCCAAGCAACGCAAGGGGAAGCGGAGGCGGAGAAGACCGACTGGCGCTTGGTGGCGGAAATCGGCCAGCCGCTCCCTTCGGCAGTAGCCCCCGCTACACCAGCCTTGCCGCCGGGGGTGACGCCAACGCTAGAGCCCGCGCAAGCGCCGCCGCCGGCGGTCACGTCAACGGAGGCGATGACGCCGGCTGCGGCGATGACGCCGGCGGCGGCGGCGCTCGATACGGCTCTTCCGCCGGGGACCATTCCCGCTCCAGTAACATCCCCCAAGATGCCGATACCAGAGCAGGCTCCGGAACCACTTCCGGAGGCATCGACTGCGACACTTGAACCAACGCCGTCGCCGCCGTCAATCCCAATCCAGGCCTCGGCTCCCACGCCGACGGAAGCGCCGACGTCAACTGCCGTACGGCAACCTGCGTCAGCTTCGCCGCCGACGCTGGACGCTGCGCAGCAAGCACAGTTGCCTTCCATGCCTACCCTGGCTTCGATGCCGCCGCGGGACGCGGTGCCTCCGACAACGCATCAATCTCCGAAGCCTACGCGAGTTTCGGAAGAGCAACAAAGTTCATAATCATGATAACGATAAGACAAAACGGAACATTGCGTAGTGGAATGGGCAAAATCATATATAGCCCATAGGGGTTATAGTGTTGGTGGCGGGCAGCTTGGGCAGCTTTTGTCGTGTGCTGTGATGGTGGTGGTGGTGGTGGTAGTGGTGGTGGTGGTGGTGGTGGTGGTGATGTCAGCGTAGGTTTCGGCAACTCGTGCATATTTATCGAACTCCACCCGGACCGCACTCCAGCCCGTTTTTCCCCACTTCGAGACAGGGCGATTCCGCTCTGTGAAAACGGAGGTCTTCTTCGTTTTGGCGGCTTGGATGGTGGATGGAGCTCTACAGCAGGAATAGTAGTGTATGGATGTATGTATGTATGCGTGTGGATGTGGATGTGGATGTGTACATGTGTACATGTGGATGTGGATGTGTATATGATGTTTGTGTGCCTGTTTGTCTGTGTGTATTATGTGCCTGCTCGCGCGCCTGTTTGTGTGCCTGTTTGTCTGTATGTATTATGTGAATACCGACATTACCTGAGGGCAGAGACAGGCCCCGAATGTGCACGCGTATGTATGTATGTGCGTGCGTGCGTGTATGTGTGTGTATGTACGTATGTTCTAGTGCATGAAGACCTTTTCCAGAAGACCGCGCGCGAAACCCGCATGCCACGTACCACGCCGCGAGGAGTGGGATGGGGTCGGTTATTGTTTCGGGTAGTAGGTTCCGGTTAGTTAGCTGACCAGACAGTTGCAACGATTCCGTTGCTTGACCAGCGGTTAGATGGATGTACCTGCTGAAGGGTTGGCTTACCCCTGGCCGGGTGGCATGCGGTTGATGATGAAATCCACATGCAGACCGCTGTAGTGGCTTATTAACCCCCGGCCATGTATGTTGTACACCCATGTCGTATATCAGAAGGTTTTCTATGTACGACACAAGGTAGTTGCGCAAATGTTTTCCTTGGTTTTGCTTTTGCTTCTGCTTTCAAGGAGGCTGTTGAGACAGCTGTTGAGACCTTTTGCTTAGCTGCGGCATGCGCCTCTTATCAATGGATGCTCATGACGGACTGCGGCTTGCAAAACGGACTTGGAAAAGCGGTTGTGGAAAGCGGTGTTTGTGAAGCGGTTGAGATAACCACTCAACGGGCGCCGCTGGTAGAAACTGGCGCCTGCGTGGCCTTGGGGGGCTGCTCGACCGCCCACTGTTCATTTTTTTTGTGGGTCGCGGCGATGAGGGATAGCCGGCGCGATTACGACCGGCGCGATGACGGCCACCATGACCAGGATTACGCTCGCAGGAGGGCAGCGAAAAAGGCGGCATTAAATTGACGGCAGGTTGGCGAAACGGAGGATTCCCCGGGACTGCCTGGCAGGTTTTGAAAAAGTGTTGTGTTTATGGCCTTTTCTCATTATCGATCTGGATCAGGATTGCGGCGGGACACGTGGACTGGAGGAATGGAGAGGCAGAGGTGGGCAGAGGGAATGAGCGATGCAGGATGGGTGACAGCAACGGTTTGGGTTGGACGAGGGCGTGGACGGCGTTAACAGGGAAACATTAGAAGCGCTGCCAGCACTTGGGATGTGATAAACTTATTGGCGTTGACTTAAATATAACTTATCATACAGAGAGGTTATAATGCCGCTGCGCAAAGAATGCTTGTATGTGTACGTTGTGATAACATTTCGAGAATGCTTCACGTCGCGCGTTGTGTAGTAAAATGGACATCTCTTTAACATTTTGCGTTGCAATAGGTTACTCTTTGTGCTGCGCGCTCGACCTGACTGTCTACGTCTGCCTGCGGTTGCGTCATCTCCAGCACAAACCACACGCTGCTTAAATGGCTGGCTTAGAATTTTGTGTTTTTCTTCTCCGCGTTGCCTTTGGCCTTTAGTCGTTCCTTGCGTTGTGTTTTCTGCAAGGGCTTTCGTTTTTCCTGAGTTGTTGCGGGCCATAGGAGAAGCCGCGCAGCAACAAGGAAAGCAACGGCGGCAGCCGGTCCAAGCCACGCTACGGGAACTGTTCCATGCTTTGTTTTAAGAGTACTCGGGGGTAAGCTGCCCTGCGGAACGGGATAAGGGAGACACGAGAGCGCAGGAGGAGGGGGGATTATGGATAGATGGGGCTAGAAGAGGAATGCGTGGAGCTTCTTGTCTTCAGATAGAGGGATTGTCAGCGATGATGCGCGATGAGAGGTGGAGGTCAACCGCGCGCGGGATCAGGTCCGTAGCCTGCTGTCTTGGTTGTTGCTGATGCGCCTGTCGCGGCAGCTGGCGGACGGCTACCCGGTGCCTTCCCTGTTGTTGCGTAATGGGAGTTTGTGCTTCATTTGAGCAAACTGTCTGCTTTCTGGGGTAGGGTGAAGACCGGAAGGGGTTGCGCTTTGACGCGATGTGCGCCGTGCTACTGGAGAACAATGAAGCAGGAATTGAGAAACATGAATGGATGGCCTCACGTTGAAGCCATCTTACATAGTTATCAAGGACAGCACTGCTGACGTATTCAATTCTTTTTCCTTTTGTCTCTGTCGCCGTAAACGTTTCTATCTTGGATGAAGTAACGGCGCCGCCCCTGCGGCCGCGCGCGATTACCTATAGCAGCTGCGGCGTCACTCCTTCATTGAACCGCTGTCTAAAACCTAAAAGATTAATGAAATGTGCTGAGTTTTAGAGCTTGCCGAAGTGATGATAAAATGCAAGCAACTGCGGATTGGTTGCTGCGAGAAACGCAGCAGCTGCGGTCGTTTACGCTTTGGAAGGCTATATACCTTGTTTTTTTTTTAAATTCATCACAGTCGTGTTTGGGGATGCCTCCCACTGTAAGAAGTGTCTGTGCTCGCTGATTTGACAGAAAGTCCGCACTGGTCCGCAAATCTGCGACCAGGCACAGGTTGGCCGGCACAGCGATGTATGCCAAGAAATCAGATGACATGTCTTTGCTAGCTTGCCAGCCTAACGCTCACAGCTTTGCGGCTTAAACAGAGACTCTAGTTCCCGTGCAATAGACCTTTCTGTTCGCGGCTTTCATGGTTCACAACGATGCCGACCTGCAAGTTGACGAAGGGACCTTTTCCTTGGACAAATTGCATGGCGAAAGTCTGCAAAATCACAGCCGGGGATGCCGGTGCACAAATCACGGATGCCTGTCGCGGAGCAGCCATGCATGATTAATTACATAAATCTTCTTCATTCAGAACCTGGATCCCCAGCTCCAAAACACCATTTGCAAGCAGCCACAATTGACGTGACAAAACCACAATCCGAAACCGTACCTATTCCACTGCGCCGACCTCCATATTACAGCATTTGCATCAACCAAGATGCAAGACAACAGTCTTTACGACGGTTAAGGAGAAGCTAAACTCTTTCGTGGAATCCACTCTCATGGCATTAAACGGACGATATAATGTGCCTACTTCTAGTTAACGTATTATATTGTATTCATTATGTTAAATGGCATGCCCTAAAACGCCGAAGTTTCACGAGCAGACCGCCGAACAGGTGGAAAGAGTTTAGACTAAAATTTCGCAAATCCTTTTGCGGAAGATTCCCTCAAGCTAATGCTATTGCCTGCATGCTTCGGAAATTTCATACCTGCATCACCGTTTTAAATTCGGACCCTTTGTCCGCTTATTAATCCCAGGCGTGTTCCCTCATTATTATGTGCAGGCAAAAGCAGCAAAGCAGCATATTTCTGCTGCTGTCTTGACAGCCGTTCGCCTCTTACCTGTTTTCTGTCCACAAGCAGTATAGGCGCTTTGGCAATGTGAAGTTATATACATATGCAGTGCAGTACAACGCACGGCACCTCTCGCAGCTGCAGAAAGTCCGTCACGCCAACAATACCGAAATACAAAACACCAGTGCAAATGCCAACCGTGCATCCCCTCCCCCGCGTCTGTCACTCCCGCGTCTGTTTACGGTTAGGTGCCCCCCTGGCCAGCGTCAGGCCCGGATCGATGTGTAACAGAACCACTCCCCCCGTCATCACCCCCTACATACACCAGCACACAGCGAACGATGCCGCATCGCCTCTAATAAACCCCGTCTAAGAACAAACCATTAACAAGTACGACGACAACATCGGCAGCGAGATTTGACCCCGGAAGACACACACATACATACATACACACATCATCAGCATCGGTACCATCATCTCACCTCTGCTTCTTAGATAGCGTATTCTGCGCCTCCCATCAACCACGGGACGTGCCATGTCGAGCACAACCTTGCACGGCATTAAAAGCATGAGAACGGGGTGGTGATTCAAAGCAACGGGGGAGAATCACCGCGCGAAGGGACGGAAAAACGACGACAAAAGTCTTAAACCAAAAAGCACAACTGGGTAACCGCCACCAACCACCAACCGCGAACCGCGGCCGCCACAGCTCGCTTGTAAATCACTGGCGTCTCCTAAAAAACCTGCTGATTAATTATTCTGCCGTCAATGGAACTGCCGCAAAACTCCCACACAACATTTGGAAACCCGGCTGTGGCCACTTCGGTCTCCCCACCAGAGAAAGGCAGGAGCAGCTGGTGGCGCTACGGCCTTCAGCGCAAACGGACTACTGCCGCATACGCGCGTGTGTATGTATGTGTGTGTATGTGTGTGTGGAGGGAGGGAGGAGGACGCAACGCGCAAAAAAAACTGTAATGTAGTGAATTATGAGTAATGGGGAATGGGCTGTGCGGGGGTCACCCAGAGCTCACCACACGGTGCATCTGTTGCATCCTCCCAACCGTCCACAACCGCCGTCCACAACCGTCGTCGTCATCCATTACAAACGCCATCAACTTCACACGCACCACTCAGCTCCGGCGCACTCGCCGGTGATTCCCTCCCTCTCCCTCTCCCTTGCAGTATCGTACATGCATGCACACACATACATACACGCAAACATCAGAGCCACTCTTGTCCGGCAAAACCCACCTCACCCCCTCACCAACCAACCGACAACCAATTAACCGACAACCAATTAACCGACAACCAACCCCACGGCTTTTCAGGATGGACGGCACACCCAAGGTGGGCTCGTAAGGCCCAAAACTCTGCCGCCCTTTGCTCAGCGCAGCGCCATCATCATCCTCTTCCCTCCTCCTCCTCCCCCTCCTCGTCCTTCTCCCTCTCCCCTCCCCCCTCTCTCCCCTCATCCTCCCCTTTTCCCTCCTCGTCCTCATCCTCATCCTTTCCCTCACCTTCCGGGCCCCAGAGCGGGACTCCTCTTCCCCCTCTCCCCCCTTCTGGTCCCCCCGTGGACAAGTCAGCAAACCAACATCAGCGCCCCCATCAGAAGAACCTGGCCAAAAAGAAGCCCGCTCGTCCCACCCGACCAACTACTTTCCATCCACCCAGGAACCTCCGCCTTGGGAAAACCCAAACCTCGTCCCTCTCCCCCTTCCCCCTCGCCCCCTCCTCTCAAGCCACCGCTACGCGCCAAGGCATCTCCATCGCCACAACGCCTGCCGCCGGCGAGGCGTCCTCCATCACCGCCTCATCACCATCAAGAGCCACAGCGTGGTGAGTGTGAAGACCCCCTTGGTGGCCCTGAGCGCCCGGGTGAACCGCCTGCCCCTGACTGCCCTGCAACACAGCTGCCCTGTGTTGCTGTCGCTGGTGCTGGGACTGGGTCTGGTTGTGCAGATGCTGGTGATGGCGGTGCTGTTGCTGCTGCTGCTGGTGCTGCTGGTGCTGTTGCTGGTGCTGTTGCTGGTGGTGCGGCAGCGGCGGTCGATGATGCAACAGCTGGTGATGATGCCGACGTTGTTGGTTATGATGATGGTTATGATGATGGTTATGATGATGGTCATGATGATGATGGTGTTGTGCCGCGTGATGTGCCACCTGGTTTTGCTGTTGTTGCTGCTGCTGTTGTTGCGATTGCTGCGTCGTCAATGCCGCCGCCGGCTGCTGCGGTGCATGTGGTGCATGCAATGGTGGGTGCAACAACAAGTCCATCACCACCTCCTCATCCTCAACCTCCTCCTCCCGGAAACCCAAATCCATTACCCCCCGCTTCAGCTGCAGCCCCTGCTGGTGGGCCTGCTGCTGCTGCTGCTGCTTCTGCTGCTGTAGCATGGCCGTAGCCTCTGGCAGTAGCCCCCGCAACACGCCGGGCAGTAGCCCGGCCAGCAGCTCCTGCTCAGAGAAGTTTTGCGGCTGTACGGCAATCGGGGCAGCCAGTACGCCCCCCACGTCCACGTCCACGTTCAAAGGGAATTGTTCCGGTACGACAAAAAACTGCGTCATGGGCTGTAGCTGCATTGAGAGCTGCTGCTGCTGCAGCTGCTGCAACAATTTCAGCTGGGCCACGATGCTGTTCTTCATCCCGCCTGTGCCCTCCTCCGCCAATTTGATCTTCAACACAGCCTTCTGCCCTCCGTGCCCGTGCCCGTGCCCGAGCTCGCCGCGGCGCTGGGACGCGGCGTCTGCGGCCGTGGACGGCGCCGAAACCATCTTATCCTGGTCCCCTCCCTCCGCCGCCGTGCCAGCGGCGACGGCGGCAGCGGCAACCGCCGCCACCGCCGCCGTACGGCGCGCTTGGAGTTGCTCTCGTATCCTTCGAAGCGGCCGGGGCTGGTAGGTCGGGTCATTGCGGGCGCGAAGCTCCTCAATACGACGCATCGTAAATCGTACCCATTCACCCGTATTTGTACGACCTTCCGTGGCGGGGTACTGCTCCAGCGGACGCTCGTCCTCAAGCACGTACATGTCCTAAAAAACGGGTTTTATTGGTTTTAAAAGGGTTTTTAAAAATGAGAACAGCAAGGGGGAAATGAGGGGGAGATCTCGGTGTCCAAAAGGCAACGATAACCGACGCACCTGCATTCAGTTGCCTTCAGTTATTACCTAACAAACTTAACTGCCCCAACCGACACAAGAAGCCAATACCTAACAACACGGTGGCTCTCACAAACAGGTTACACCGCAACATCGCTACCTAGGCAAGAATGTCTACATAGCACATATCCATTCCACCCCCCACCATCACCACCATCACCACCACCACCACCACCACCACCATCACCACCATCACCGCCATCACCGCCATCACCGCCATCACCGCCATCACCACCATCACCACCATCACCGCCA